GGAAGGGGTGTCTGCAGCACTGCAGGTTCCCACCCTGGGCCTGCAGCCGTCCTTGCCCTCCTCCTGAGCACAGCCAGTCCTGCAAAGGTTCCCTGGGGCTTTTTGCACCCTGTGAATTGCTGCTGAGTCTGCAGCACCACAGATCTCCAGCACGGGCACTGACCAGCTCATTTTTGGAAAGCCTCACCAGTGGTTTGCAACGACTGGAAGGAAAAGCAAGGAAAAGCCCAGGCTGCTCCAGCAGCTGCTGTTGGTACCTGGCTGTGATGAGCTGCAGCCCTGCACCCTCCCACGTCCCCTCCTGCTGCAGACACCAGCACCTGTGGGACCTGCTGCTCCCTGCTGCCATGTGGAAACTCTGCAGGACACAAACCCACATGTCTCTGCCATGCAAAACCTGCACAGCCCCAAAGCCAGAGCTGGGATAACAGTGAGGGACAAGGAAATAAATGTGGGGATATGCTGTGGAACAACACTCTCATAACATCTACTTACAAACACGAACACTGTTTTCTCAGGATCAAGAGGAGGCCAATTTAGATAAATAATGAATACTTTGACCAAAGTGAAATCCTTTAAATGAAGTAACATGTTATTTATGGTTTTGTGTACTTGCTGCTGATGGTCTCAGAAAAGATCAGCCACTGAAAGAATGGAGATGTCCCACCAAGCTCATGGGACCAGAGTTCACTGCTCTTGAGATGCTTTAGTGCAGTGGTTTCATGGGTGTGAGAAGAAGATTTTATCTTCAATTAATTCAGTAAGATCAATTTTATGCCTACTTTACCAGAAAAGCAACTGAAAGCTGAAAGAAGTCAAATATGTCCTTTCAAGCTGTGGAAAAAAGTGGGTATGAAAAATGGCTGCAATCTTAAAGGACATGAGGACCATACTGTCTTTGTTATGTTATTGACTTGTTGGAAATGCAAAGCATGTTTAGATAAACATTATTTTCCATATGTCCTACCAGCACATTCACTTAACCATTAAAAACATTTCTGAAAATCTATTTTTAGGACTTTTTAATTGGAATTTGGTTCCCAGACTGACCCACCATGTGTTTAAAAATTACTCATGTGGTAAATAGGAAAGCTGCCATGTACCTTATACTAACAGAAAAGTTTAAAAAAATAAGGCTGAAAAATATTGTGAAACACAGTATTGGCTAAATAAAAATGTACTGATAGCTGACTTCAACTTTCATTGCTAAAATGAAATACAGGATTTAGTGAAAAGGCTTATAGAGAAAATAATTGTATTTTGTTTCAAACTGAAATAAGAATCAGCCTTAAGAACATCTACAGAGAAAAGGAAATGCAAACAGCTATTAAAATCGATTATTTGAGTAAGTGTTTCTTGCTTACGTAGCTGGTGCTGCTTCACATCAATCTCCACTACCTTGGGAAAACTTAAAATTTAGAAACAAGAACCAATGAAGACCCACCAAAGGAAAGATTGTCATAATAACTCATTTTCTGACTGATGAGCAAAATTCATTTCAAATTACTTCCTCTTGCTGCCTTTGGAAATGGAACATTACGTCTGTGCTCTGCCTGACAGGCACAGGCTGCCAGGGCTGCAAGGGGACTTGGAGGACTCTGGGCACTCTTTGGCATGCACAGGGCAACTCTCCTGCCTGCCCATGGATGCAGGAATGCAGCACAGACCTGGGCAGCCTCCCTGCCCTTCCCAGTGCCCTGTCTGCCCCTGCCCCCATGGCACTCTGGGCAGCAGAACGGACCCAAGGGAGCTGAGCAGTGTGAGCAGCACGGGACAATCCCAGCCAGGGTCACAGCCACGACTGTTTGTCACACTGCCTCCCCCTCAGGGTTTTCTGCTTGTGTTTGTCAAGGGTTGCCCTTGCCATTCCTTCTGTCTCAGCTTTGCTCCCCCAGTCCTGCAGTATCCCAGTTCACTTCCACCATATCTTTCCCAGGAGTGTGCACAGCAGCTGCTCACTGCAGTGATGGAGGAGCTCAGGGCAGCAGTGAGGGAGGATCTCAGGGGAGCAGTGAGGGAGCATTTCTGGGCAGCAATGAGGGAGGATCTCAGGGCAGCAGCTGGCAGGCAGCAACTCCACCAGCACAAGGCCCTCTCCTGTTCGCATGAAGCTCAGAGCTGGAGCAAATGCTGGTTTTGGGCAGCTGCCAATCTCACAGCCAACGAACAGGATCCTAAACAGAACTGGGATATGTGTTCTCTCACCCTGGCCCACAGCATCCCTGGGGGAACTCCCTCTTCAAGTGCCCTGCACTAAGGATTTTGTGGCTGCTGCCATTTTGGTGGCTGCTACTTCATGCCAGCGATGAAAAACCCACTCAGCATTGTGCAGCTTAGATGAAAGCTTGCAAATTGTGGTGAAAGCACAGCTAGAGAAACACAGAACCTGCACATGAATACAGAGGTGCTGCCCTGACCCCGCTAGGCATGGCCCATGGAAACCCCTCACTGTGTGTCACGGCAGGGTACCAGCCTGCACATCCATCCTCACCTGCCAGAGAGCCACACCAAGCCCAGCCCAGGTCCCAGCCCAGATGGCAGCACTGCCACTGCTGTCTGTGTCAGGCCAGGTCAGTGGCAGCAATCACCAATCAGAAGTTTTAGAACTTGGTGTCAGAGCCTGCAGTCTGTCAGGGTGACTTTGCTTTGAAAGCTTGGATGGCAGTAAAAATGAAAAATGGTTCTGCCATTTTCTCCTCATCTGCCCTCAAACTATTTATGCCCAGCAGGTCTCAGAGGGGCTGCTCCCACACGTGGCTCCTGTTCCTATCCCTGGGCTGCCTGAAGCTGTGGCTTCCTCTGAGATGGGGGCAGCTGAAGGCTGGGGAAGGAACACCCTTTCGGCACAGTGGAGAGGCAGCAGGGATTAAAGAAATCTCATTAAATCCACGCCTGTAGCTCACTCAGGGAGGCTCCCCCTCACTTAAAGAGAGCCAGTAGCTCTGGCAAACTGCATCAGCCCTTCTCTGGAGTGTCCAGTAATGCTGCCTCTGCACAAGGACCTGAGCAGCAACAGGATACAGGGGATACACTGAACTGGAAGTGTCTGAGAAGTTGAAACCAGGAGGGGTTTAGTAGAAATCTGCAGTTTTTCTGGGATTTGCAAGTAAATAAAGTCTATTTTTTCCTGAAGTCCAAAGCTAGCTAATTTATTTCTAAGTGTTCATTTCAACAGGCTTTCTCAGTCTTCCTGGCCAAAACACTTGCCAGTGCTCCATGCGAAGTTCCAACTCATAAAGATAGTTTTAAAGACTGCTGCTACCAGCTGACAGGGAAGTTTAATTCTAGTTTCTGACCTTCTTCTGATGTTATAAGTATAGAGCAACATGAGAAATGACTAGGCACCAGTTGTGGGTTGAGTCAAACACTTCACATCTATTAGACACAAGTGTAAATCCACAATTAAAATGGTGGTAAAGAAGACCAGTGGAAATGGTGGAAAATGAGCCAGTTGTGGTCCTCATAACAACATCAGCTCTCAGGAAGGCTGTGCTGAGGTTTTCTGACTCAGCTCATGCCACAACAACATACTGGATTAACTACAATGCCAGGGAGGGTTCCAGTGAGAGAGGAATGGTTGGGACCCTCCTAGAAAACTCATCATCCTGAAGGAATGGACTGGGGGAAGCTGAGGGAAAATGAGGATCTGTGACTTGTCATGTTCCCCACATCCTGTTTGATAAGTGATGCCCAAGAGAAGGAAAATTCAGAAAGGGGCAACCAGAATTAAAATCCAGTGGGTCAGAAGCCTACATGAAGGTGGGGGAAAAATCTGCTGCATATTGGTATCTCAGGTCCTTCCCTTTGGCTGATACCATGCCTGCAGTTGCCCTGGCAGCCTGTTTTACCCACCAACCTCAGCTACAGGCAGGATCATGCCCATTGAGCTGGAAATCTCCGTCATGCAGAGGATTTATGACAAGTATTTTGCTTTTGTCCCCCTGAAATTACATCACTCTCCTCTTTTATCTGTCTTAAGTGTCAGGAGAGTGTGATGTTAATGAGATGTACAAAGGCTTTTGGGTAGCTGAACAGTTTTATAGTCCCACATTGATAAATTAAAGCATTTGTCACTGTTACCACATTAATGTTTCTTCCTAAGATCAAAGTCTGGATTTGCTGCATTAAGTGGGACCGGCCTCTGCTCCACGTCACCACACGTTACCTTCCGAGGAGATGAATTGTGGTTCTGCATTTCTACATTCACAGTTTAATCACACCCTGATTCTCACACCTGCTGATTCCCATCTCCACATGAGGCACACAAGCCTTTTTTTTGTTACGGATTTTCTCCTTGCTACCTGTGTGGAAAGCCTGACTATCTTGTTTCAGGACAATCACTTTTTTCTGGCTCTGAAAGGCTGCTTCTTCAGTAAAGAACACAGACAATTTCCTTACTTCTGGAACCCTGGATTCAGTCATATTAATTTACATTTATATAGCACCTTTCATCCCTGAAGATCTCAATGCACTTTACAAACTCCCCCTCTCTGTACACAGAAGCTGTACAAATAGACAGGCTACATAAACAGACACAGGATCCCAGTGCCAGCTTCTGAAATACATCCCTCTGCCTGTATTCCCAGCACACTCGTGGCCATCCAGCTCTGCACACATCCCCATCAAGGAGGAAAACACGGCAGTGTGATTTAGAGGCACGTCAGGAAGCATGAGGGATCTGGGCAAACAGTAGAATGGCTTCACGGCCTGGCTGAGTGACACCTCTGCTGCATGGGTTAAAATCAGACAAAAGCTGATTAGGGATGAGTTACATTTCACTGTTTTAGTTGTTGGCAGTTGTTGTTGGCAGTGCCTGTAGAAATCCAGGTTTGCTGCTCCCTCCCACTGATGGGTAACCCTCGAGTAGTTTATTTTTTAAAACTGGAAAGCATCTGCTTGCTTTGCAATGAAAACAAGGGGAAAACCCCCCCCTCCCAACAGCAGTGGCTGAGTGAGAGCAGCCAACGTGAGGATGGAGGAGACGGGAGTACCCAGCATACCTGAGACACCTTTTTGACCACGTCGCTCCCCACCAGGAAGCCCTGTGCGTAGGAGCGCGCCGCGATGAAGGCTCGGGTTGCCTTCACCTTCAGGTCCCTGGGCACCTCCCCGAAGGGCTTGTGCTGCTCGGCGTGTTTGACCATGCAGTCCAGGTACTCGTCCGTGATGTGGTACTGGGGGTTCAGCAGCTTGAAGAGCCTCTCCAGCAGCCGTGTCCAGAACTCATTGAGGGCCTCTTCCAGGTTGATGTTGGAGCTGCGGTAGTAGCGGCGCAGCTCGCTGTACAAGTCCTTGAACACCTTCACGTTTTGAGTGTACAATTCTCCGTACAGGCTTGGAAAGGCATCATAAAGGGCCTTCTCTGACTTGTTCAACAAATCCTGGAAATAACCTGAAAGATGAGAAAAAGAGAGGTGATGTATCAGCCAGACAAGCTGGAATCCAACAGGCTGTGTTATTGGGCAGCACAGCTGAACACCCTGAGAAAAGAGAAGGGTCCTAACAGAGCATTTCCTCCAGCCAGCATTACCCACACTCTCAGGTCTCAGCCTTAGCTGTGAAGATAGAAGGAGGAAACTCCCCCCACACTCTCAGGTCTGACCCTTAGCCATGAAGATAGAAGAAGGAACCTCCCCTGCCCTTTCATGCTGGAGAACCCTGGTCTGGGCCTCTAGCTCTTCTGGCAGCCTCACCTGGAAGCAAAGCTGGGTCTCTTTTCTGAATCTGCAAGGTGTCACAGTGTCACTCATATGTTTTCTTCACAGCTGGCATTGCTTACACAAACCCTAAACTGCCACATGTTATTTCCAAAGCACTGGTGAGATGAAGCAGGGCTGCCAGCACGGTGCCAACCCTGTCCAGGGACATCCCTGGTGGTGGCAGCCAGGCTGGCTCTGGGCACAGTCAGAGTCCAGGTGCAGTGTCAGGAACAGGCACGTCTTCCTGGGCACTCCAAGGCAGGGCTGTACCCAAGTGCTTTTTAACTGAGGCCAACGTTATCTGGGCTTCTCATCCCATTTGCTTACTTGGGTGCGCATCCTGCTTTTGTTCCAGCATAAATAACAGAGTGCTTTTACATCCCTGGTTCAGTGGTCTCAGATGTGACAGAAATGTTACTCTTGCTACACACAGCAGGGTGAGAATGACAGATTTGACTCCTCCCTTGCCAACATCTTTAGGTACTTCCATCATCTCAATTGCCAGCTACCTTCAGGCTGAGACTGCACAGAAGGGAACTCGTAGCAGGATTGGCCTGATCCAATTAATAGATGTACATAAGCAACTGCAATCATCATTGAAGTCAGTCAGAGGAAAAATAATTTAAATAATAATTTTAATTTCAATTACACTTGTACTTTTAGGGTCTTTTTGAAGCAAACCTGATTAAACTATTCTTTAAATCTAAATTTCTTTTTTTTTAGTGATGTGTTTATAAGCCCTAGTTGTAAAGAAACTGTTATTCAATTAAAATCAAACAGCATGTATTTAGGTATATAAATTAACTTCATGGTGCTAGACATCTAAGAAAAGAAAGAGAAGCTCCTGAAAAAAATGCATACTGCATGTACAAAGCTTTATTAAACAAAGTATTTTTTGAGGGAATGGCACTGACTACAATTAAAGACCTCTAAAACTGTAGAACTGAAGCTGAGATCCATAAATCTTGCTTATATTCACTGACTGAGAAGGGCCATATAAGCTTTCCTATATTAATAACCTCTCACTAGTTTCTCAGATTTGAATGAAGCTAAAACTTAACGGGTGAATCGACCAAGTGAAAAGAACCCTCTGCATCTTAGCCACAGGTTGCTAACACTGAAAATTCCTGTGCTATTTTAACAAAGCAACACTGAGCATTAACAGCCTGGCCTTCTCCAGCCCCTATCATGTGCTGCTTAATAGATTAAAATTTGATCTAAGAGATTTTTGTTTTTAAAAGATTGTGAGGAAACTAGGTCTTAGCAGAAGTCTGGTTTAATTACTAATGCAGAAGTAAAAAGTAAAAATCTGTTATCTGGAACGTTGAACAAAAACTAGTTTTCAATTGGGAAGAAATTTATTCTTATTCAACATGACTGGGTGGGCAGTTTGTATCTCCAACTATTTTTACTGGGTTCCCTCCATCTCTCAAATGACTGATCACGCACCTTCCCCACTAAAACTGGATTTCCCCTGTACACACCAGGTGCCAAGGCAGCACAGTCACCTATGACCTTGCAATGAGGGCTTCTCAATGGGGAAAAAAGACAAAAGCTGATCCCATCAGATTAATAAAAAAGATGCTGCACTCACCTGTAACAGAAACAAAACACAAAGTTTCTCTGATGCTGATGAGGTATCTAAAAGCTCTTCCCTACCTTAATGTATCACTGCAAACACTGCTGGTTGCCCATTCACAAGTTAATTAAATTGAGCTCAAACTCCCTTCCTTGTACAATCAGTGCTCTTTTCTGTGTGACAAGAGACACGAACTGAACAATTTGCTCAGCAATCGAGGTAGACGTGCAGCTTTGCACTCATCATCAGGAGGAAGAAAACACCGACAAACACAGCCCAATTTGTCAATTCAAGGCAAAATTACTTTCGTTGTTTTGCTACGAGAGAAACAAGATATATATCTCCCTGTCAAAAAATTGGAGATTGCTCTCAAAAAAGTCAGAGCTAATTAAGGGCTGATGAACTGTTACTTCTCACCCAAGTGAGGGAACACTGATTAAAGCCAATTCATCTGTGGCTGGTTCTCACAAAGTTCTTCTAGATTTCACACACTGAGGGAAAAAAATCTACACTAGCCAGGGAAAATTAATTAGCAATTGAGTCTACACATGTTTGTGATGAATGGCTGACCTGGCAGGGAATTTAAATGCCCATTTTGCAGCATCAGAAGGTACCACGAAGTGAGGTTTGTCAAGAGGGATGCCAATGTCCCTGTTCCTCAGTAGTGTGTCATCTGAGATCTCCCAGTAACACTGCATCTTCTGCTGAACATGCCCTGCCTGCCAATGTCCAACCTTTTAATGAGTTTAGACAGGTGTCACAGATTAAGGATGTGCAGGGCCTCGGGATAAGACAACTTGCTGAGGCACAGTTCAGGCTCCTGCCATTCTACCTTGATTTCAGGTAGAAGGACTCATTTATCTGAGGGGGAGCAGCCCATTATCTGTAGCCATGGAGGGTGAGGGACCCTCAGGTCATGGGGTTCTCCAAGTCTCCACTGCTGCTACCAGGAGTTACCAATAACAGGGCCAGCAGGTCCCTTTGGATATATCAGCTCCCACTTGGTGACCACTGCTGGGTCTGCCCTGGCTCCCAGAGCACCACTGGAGTGCTCAGCTGAGGCAGGGCATGAGCATGTGGAGCAGCTTCACCCAGGTCACAGCTGGACACAGCCCTGAGCCCCTGAGCTCTGCTGCCACCTCGCTCTCTGGGCCAGCAGCAGGCTCAAGCCATGAACTGCACTCAGGCACTGCAGCACAGGGCTTTGTCACCTTGTGAATGGCAGGGATGGAGGGAAAGGGCTCAGCTGCACTCAGGGACTGCAGCACAGGGCTTTGTGAATGGCAGGGATGCAGGGAAAGGGCTCACAAGGAGCCCGTGCTGAAGCTATAAAGCCCTTCTGGCTCCAGGAGGCACCACTGCCCTCCCGTCCCTGGGGGCAGCAGCACAGCTGAGGTGGTTCTGCAGAGGGTCCTTCCTTCTGAAAGGATGCATTTGCTTCCACTCTGAGTCACAAGAAAGCAGCTACAGATTCTATGGACCTGTGCTGAAAAACTCAGGGCTGTTCTTGGCTTCTTGGAGCCCCAGGAATTTGACAGTACCAGCCAGAGACACCTCCTTGCAAGTCACCTGCTAAATCCATGACTGGCTTTCCCCTCTTTCAAAAAGTTTCCTTCAGAAGCCACTGACAGGTGAGTCCTTCCTCAGCACTTCCAGCTGAGGGACACAACACTGCCAAGCCCAGCAGGTGGCTTTCAACACCAGTACTTCAGACAAACTCAATTTTCCCTGGGCCTATGCAAGGCACGGCTCCTCAACCAAGGCTGCTCCTACATGAAACATCACCTTTCACACCCTTTTGCTGCAAAGTATTCAAAAGAAAAATAAAATGAAATGGAAGCCTGTTTTATTACTATTATTATTGCTTCTCACTTCCAGGCTCAGAAACAAGACAACTGGCTTTGCTCAAAGGAAATTTGCCTCTTGGCAGAGGCCAGGTCTGAAAAACTCTGCCTCAAATGCAAAGACGCCATAAAGTTATGAATAAAGAAATGAAAGGTTTCTACAACCAAAACAATTCTGCCACCTTGGCTTTCTCTTGCTGTTGTAGTGACAAAAACTTACTTCTCAGAGAATTAAGTTTTCAACCAGAATCTATAACCTTTGCATTCAAGAGAGATTGCAAAACCCCACCCATTTCCCTGCTTCGCAGCTTCCCAGTGTTCGCAGCTCATATTTTCACAGTTTCCACATTTTCACAACTCTGGATTCAAACTGGGAAGCTGTGAACAGCACGGCAGGGACCGGCAGTTTCTCTCTGAAGAAAGTTTTGAGTTTCTCCTTCCTCAGCGCCCCCAGCACAGAATACTTTATCCAAGCTCTCTGCTACCATTTGATCACTCAACATCTGGAACACACTGGGGTTTTCTCTACTAATCCAATGATGGCAAGGGAATGGATCACTGCAGGAGGGAAAGAGATCACTGAAGGAAGAACACTCAAATGCTCTTTAGGCAGGCGGCAGAGCTGGCTTCCTTCAAGCCCCCTCAAATTTGAGAGGCATGCTAGAGGAAATATGAGAAATGGAGAAAGGTGACTGAATTACTTTCAATCTCAATATTATTAAAATTTTAAGCAGAAAGCTGCAGCACAAAATGTCTTACACACAACAAGGGAAGAGTTGAGACTGGAGGAACACCAATGGTGCTCTTGTTAAAATGCTGTGGAAGTTTTGCAGCAATGGGTGAAATGAAAACCCTCCTGCTGCTCAGACAGCTTTGCCTGGTGAGCTGTTTGTGGTCTGAGGGCCTCGCCATGAACCGCCAGGACAGACAGAGGTGGGGCAACACCATGAGGAGCAGGAAGTACCAGATCCTCAGTTTGGAGGATCAATTTCTCAGTATTGAGCGAGCACATGAGCCTATGGTGGAATTCATGCAGGGCCAGAGGCACGGAGCTCTGGAGGAAGGCTCTATGAACAAACTGCGGTGTGTCAGGACTGGACTGAGAACAGGAGAGGAAATGTAGCTGCTTCCGTGCTGTCCTGAAGCCCAGCCAAAGCAGGGAAAGAAAGAGGATGGAGGTGTCTGCTACAGCAGAGCCCCTGCTAGGTGCCAGCCCTGCTGGTCTGAGGAAGAGTCTTTTCCTGGGCTGAGCTCCCATTTAATACCCTGC